TTTCCTCTGGTTTTACTGTGACCAGGCCTCCCTAATGAACCAGCTCTCCCTACAACTGGCCCTTTACATTATTCCTCTTGTGTAGGCACTTCCCCTCCTTCCCATCTGAGTCATAGGGCTCATGTGGAGAGGATGAGTCTGAAAACTTACCCATCTGCCACTGGTCACCTCTTCAGAGTCCCCTTGGCCTTCCTATTCCCCTCTCAAAGCACCTGATTCTCTTTCCTTCATAGTTGACATCATACTTCATAGGCTTTTAATTTGCCACCTTTGTTTAATGCATCTCCTAGTAGGCTTATGGGCCCCAGGAGGGCTGGGACTCCATGCTGAGCACTGTCTGGGGCCTTTCAGTTGGCACGGATGAGCCACAAGCCTCAACCTGGCCCTTCTTTCTAGGGCTTCATCTCTGCCCAGACACCGTCTCCCTTGTCCTCCCAATAACCCTAGGATGCAAGTTCCTGTCCCAACTTTACAGACGAGCAAATTATGCTAGGGCAGGAAGGTCACATTGCTGGGAAGTGGCAGGACGGGTGGCAGTGAGGTTGCAGGTGAAGTGATCCCAGCTCAGAAAGGGAACTAACCCAACCAAGTCCCATAGCCAAACACCAGGGAAGGAAAGAGTCACAAAGACCTTTACTCAAGTGAAGTGGCTGCTCATGAAAACCAGCAGAAGGTGGGGACAGGCCAGCTCTGTGAAGACAGCCTTTGGCTGCCCAGGGCAGCATGCATGGTTTGGGTATCGCCTCTGGCAGATGTGCCTGGGGCCAGACATCTGAACTGGCAGCTGCCCCAGCTCTGAGGCTTGGCTTTCAAGGCACCCCATCCAGCTCACCTTCTCTTTTGAGGCTGGTCCAGTCGCACATCCCAGCAACAGCAGCCACCCTCACAGCCAGCCAGCAGATAGGCATCTGGGCAGGAGGCAACGGGGCAGAGGCGCAGGGGTGTGGAGGTGGTATCCAGTGTGAGCAGCTGGCTGCCGGTGGGCGAGAGGGAAAGCATCAGGCCACTGGTCCAGATGTCCACCAGCCTGGCAGCCAGCCCTCCTCACACCAGCTCTGCACAGTCATCACCTGGCCTGGAAAGTGTAATCTTCATTGGGAACCCCAATGTCCCAGAGGATGATCCGCTTGTCGTAGGAGGCCGCTGAGGAGGGGACAGGGAGAAGTGGCTCTGAGGAGGCCCAGCTTCCTCCTGCAGGCTGCTTCCAAGGCTGAGTGTGGTTCCAAGGCCTGCCCCTCTGAAGCAGGGAGGGCGGGCCATGGCCTACAAGCCCTGTCTTACTCTAACCTAACGTGGGCCACACCAGGCGGCCATCTTTTGTAGGCCTCTGCTCACACATTACTCTCACCACAACTGAGCCCAGGTCGGAGTGGCCCAGGTTGTCAGAAAGCTTGAAAGGCCACAGAACAGGTTGGGGGAAAAGCCAGGACCTGAAGCCCACTCAGTTGTCCACAAAGCCCCATTGCTTCTATCATGAGTGGAGCCAACCTTGGCAGCCTGGAATGGGACTGCCAGCCACGGGGGGCACTGAGGCACTGGGCTGCAGGGCAGGGGTGATGGGGGAGCCCTGGAGGTATGGGGAGGTCTTACTGAAGAGGTGGGTCTCGTGGGTGGGGCTGAAGCAGAGGGTGGCGATGGCCTTCTTATGGGCCCGGATGACCCCACAGCAGAAGCCAGCTCGCACGTGCAGCAGCCGGACCTGGCCCCGGAGGCCTGCAGCCGCCAGCACGTTCCAGCGCTTCTTGTGGCCTGCCTGTGTGACCACTGTCAGGGCTGTCCAGGCCACGGAGAAGAACTCCTGGGGGGTGGGGGAGTGGAGCAGTCACCAAGGGGCAGAGCTACATGTGTGCACACGCATGCAGGATCAAATCTGGGAAACAGGCCCAGCATCAAAGAAAAAGTCACCTGGTGAATAGGTGGCACTTCTGCTCCCAGGGCTCTGCCCGCTGCCCTGCAGGAGCAGGGCCCTGGCACTCACCTCGCCAGGTGCCTTGTACTTGTGTAGAACGATGCCCGTCTGGCAGTCTATCACACACACAGCTTCTCCGCCACACGTGGCCACAGACTGGGATGTGGACCCTGAATGCCCTGTTTTGAGGGGTCAGGTCAGCCTAGTAAAAACATCTGTGAAGTTATCCCCTGCAGTTCCCTCCTCCTGGCCTTGGCATTTTTGAAGCTCTGTCTATCCTAATTCCCCCATGGCCCAGGCAGCCCCACTCCGAGTGGCATTCTCACACCCCCACCCAGAAAGCTTGTTTTGTTTGTTCCCTGTGGCCCTTGCCCTGCCTGCCCACCAAGGATGTACCCTCCTCGCAGGCCGGCTCGAAGGCGCAGGCCCAGAGCTGGGTTTTCAGGTCCTCGGGGCTGTTGTTCTTGCTGTGGCACTGCAGGAAGTGCAGGGGCTCCAGCTTCAGGGCAGGCTGTGGGGGCAGAAGGGGGTTATAGCTGCCCCAGTCCTTGCTCCCAGCCACACACTCCCTGCCACCTTGCTCTGACTTACCTGGCTGCCATCGGAGCCCATGGGGCGGCCCTCCACCTGAGCCGATGGGGAGGTGCACACCCGCTTGTAGGGAGAAAGGTTGAGTGGGGCATCACCTGGCCGTTTGCAGGCCCCTGGCCTGGCCTGTGTGGGGGAAGGGTGGCTCAGGGCCTGGTGACCATCTACCCAGGTCTGTCTTTCTGTCACAGGCTGGGCCGCACCCTCCCATGGGTGTAGGAGATAAGGAGTGGCCCAGGGTCAGAGGGAATTAGCTGGGGCATTGGAGGCTGTCTCCTGGCTCATTTCCAGAACTCCCTGCTTCCCTGGAGCCTCCCTGGGAAGGCAGGCCACGGCAGGCCCTCATAGCCCCGGGAGCCACAAAGAACCATACTCACCCGGGGCTCCTGGACAGCTGTGGCTTTGGGGGACTTCTCTGGGATGTTTGCCTCATGGACCTGGGTCCCACCAGAGGCCACCAGCTCCTCAGAGATCATCCGTACCTGGTGGAGCCAGGGCATCGAGAAGCTGGGCTCAGCCCCTCAGCCCTTCCTCAGACACCCAGTCAGAGGGAGCCTGTGCCTCCTGAGCTGGGAAAGAGCCTTTCTAGCTGAGAACGGTGCCTTTCCTGACCTGCCCCGCTGCCCACAGTGCCTCATGGTCAGAGGCCTCCAGGGCAGCCCAGGACATGGGAGCCAGCAAGGAGCTGGGAGAACAGACTCTGAATAAGGGGGTGAGGACATACCCGCCACCGAGTGAACTCGCTGAGGGACTCGGGCCCGTAGTGCACATCCCTGACAGCAGACCTCACGAAGTCCGCCCGGACCTTCTCAGCCTCCTCTTCAGGGCTCAGTGAGGCCATGAACTTCTCCCAGTGAGCTGTCACCTGGTACAAGAGAGACCAGATCCAGGCCCAGCTCATCCCCGGACCCTCCATGACCCCTCTACCCCCAATCTCAGGGCCTCAGGTATTTCAACCTCACTGCCTCCTGGAAGCCTCCGTAAACCACAGGCTTACTAGCTACATGTTACACAATCTAAGCAACACACACTGCTGCAGAGGGAGAAAGTGGTCTGTCCAGGGGCAAGTTACTGGGGAAATCTCTCAGCTTCCCCTCCCCCCATCCAACCCCTTCCCCCTGCCCCCGCCGGGCCCTGCCCACCTAGAGGGCAAGACACCACCCAAGGACAAGAGGCCAAGCACCACAACGAGGTTCAGAGTATGTCAGGCTAGGGACTAAGGGCCCCTGTAACCCCCCTCAGTGTCCTACAAATGTCCAAGCCTGTCGCTCGATCCTCAAGGCTGCCAACCGCCCCCAAGCCCCGAGACACCTCTCAGTCCCCTTACTCTGATGGTCAGCTCCCGGTTCAGGTTCTCCACCTGAGAGGAAGTGGAGGAAGCATCTTTGCCATTGACCTTGCGCAGCTTGGGCAGGAGAAAGGAGACTTTCAGGTTGTCGTTGACCTGGGGAATGAGGGAAGAATGGCTTGAGGGCTGCTGACCCAAGCCCAACAACAGGGTGCTGGCCCAGGCTTGGGGCCTCTGGGCGAAGCCACTCACTGTCAGGAAGGGGTTGCCCTCCAGGCTGAGCTCCTCAAGCTGCGGGAACTGGCACAAGGCAGTGACATCCCCCAGCTGGTTGTTGCAGCAGTGGAGGACGCGCAGGTGGGACAGGCCCAGGTTGTCCGGCAGCACCTCCAGTTGGTTGTTGGAGAGGTCCAGCTCCTGCAGCTGCTTCAGGCGGCTCAGGAGCTTGGGGTCCAAGTGCTCTGAGTGCAGCTCCAGTCCTGACAGGCTGGGGTGGAGAGCAGACGGTGTGTGCTCAGGGCAGGCAAGCCTCCAGCCCCGCACCGATGGCAGCCTCTGAAGGCTTTGTCACCTGGCATTTGCCGTGTACACACAGCCTCCCTCCAACAACCCATTTTTTAAAATCTTTTAACTATTGAAATATTTTAAAACTTGGGGCAGCTGGCCCCCTCCAGGATGCTTTTCCTGAGCCTCTGTAAGGGACTCCTCTCTGTTCCCCAGGCCCTGTGTAATTATCTCAACAGGTTTTCAATTCCCTTTCTGCAAGACTGTTCTTAGCGACCCGGACCCTCTTCAGGGGTGAGGCCCCTCGGGCCCCCCGGCCCATCTCCTCACAAGAGGATGGCAGCTGGCCCCCGCCCAACCGACATGGTGATAACGGGGCCCGTAAGGGTCCGGGCCTCGCTTCCGAACCCCCCGGCGCCCCCGGCCCGCCTCTTACTCCAGGCTCCGGATCCTCCCCAGTCGGCGGCTCTTGGGTTGCCCCCGGTCCATCAGGAGGCGCGGGTTGAGGGGGCCCATGGCGAGGAGGCGCGGTCGGCGCTGGCAGTATAGGCGGCGGCTGCGTTCGGCGGAGCCCGCGACTCCGGAGGCGGCTGCTGGCGCCCGCAGCTGAGGAGCCCAGGAGGTGGCGCCGCGCGAGCCCCTCACCGGAGATGACCGGAAGGAAGCGGCTCCGCGGGCCTCGTGCCCCGAGTATGGACTACAAGTCCCAGCGGCCCCTGCAACCCCGCGCCTGCGCCCTGGCCGCCGGGACGCTACAATGGCGGCTGCGGTGGTGGCGGCCCCCGAAGTACTTCGGGAATGCGGCTGTAAGGGTATCCGGACCTGTCTAATCTGCGAGCGGCAGCGGGGAGGGGACCCACCCTGGCAGCACTCCCCACAGGTAAAAAGGCTGGGAGAGGAGACGCCTACAACTTTATCCTTCATAGGGGGAAACTGAGGCCCCGACTGACCGTCCCGGATCAAACCTTGTTAGGGGTCCTCGCAGTGGGATGTTGGGGCGAGGAGACGCAGGCTTTGAGGAGCGGGGAAGGGATTGGGACGTGGGTGCAGTCCGACCACAGCTCACCTCTGGGACCTGGCGGGAGTCTGACCGCAAACCCCTATCCCTTCCCCACCCCACCCCTCTCGTCGGGGCCTGGGAGTTTCACGGGCCCGCGGGGAAACGATATGGAAAGAGTAGAGGTTGCCGAAAACCAGGGCAAAAGTGCCCATAAGGCCTTGGATGGAAATGAGCAAGGAGGAAATTAATTCCAGTTAATTAACGAAAAAGGACTCAGCTTTTGAACTGGGCCTGGAGGTATTTAAGTTGGTTGATAGGGCTTTCCACCTGGGGAAACTGCTTGATTGACTATGGGCCTGGGGCAGAGGCGTGTGCTTGGTAGGTGGGTGATGCTTCAGGTGGGGAAGGTGAGGTCCGAGGGGCCTGACCACAGAGGGCCCCGTGTGTGGCCGCTGGCCGGGCTGGACTTGTCCTGGGCGTCTTGGAGAGCCCTGAAGGGTTTTAAAGGAAGTTACATGTGAATTGTAGAACAATCCTGGCGATGACCACAAGGGTGAGCTGAGGGTTTTTTCCTGGGGTCGTGTCTCCCCACACAGAAGAATGAGTTCCAGGGGCCAGAAGATGTAAGCAGAAGTGTGGAAAATTTATTACAAGCAGATTCAGACTCCCTGCACGGAGGGGTTGGGGGCGTGGGTAGGGACAATAATGGGCTGCCCCCAGAGCCTTGTAGTCCAGGGTATATATTTGCTACAAGCCTGCTCTATCACTACCCATGTCCTCACCTCATTGTTCTTGCCCAGCAACGGACCTGAACTTTCCCTGTTTCTATGTGACAGTATACCTTGGTGCTGCAGGCCCTCCCTTGGTTTCCCATGCTTCCGCTGTGTCCAGAAGCATTCTGTTATTTCAGCGTGGTTGGTTCCTGTGGTTAGGCTTGCCGTGCCTGCCCCTGCCGATGTTTTACCTGCCTTTGTTTTCCATTGGACCCCTGCCCCGTCTGCCTGCATTTCAAGCTAATTTCTCTCACTGGGTCCTCATAGGAAAGTATTGAGGCTGGGAAGCCAGTGAAGAAGCTGCAGTGTCCCTGGTGAAAGATCTTGTAGAGAACAGTATGAAGGTTTCTCAGAAAATTAAAAGTTGAATTACCATATGACCCAACAATTCTGGGGATATACCCACAAGAGTTGAAAGCAGGGTATCGAAGAAATATTTGGATGCCCGTGGTGGAAGCAACTGGTGTCATTGCTGGATAAATGGATAAACAAAGAAGAATACACACATACAATAGAATGTTGTTCAGCTTTAAAAAGGATGCTGATATATGTTACAATATGGATGAACCGTGAAAACATTATGCTAAGTGAAATAAGCCAGTCACAAAAGGACAAATGCCATATGATTCCACTTAGTACATTAGTTAGAGTAGCCAAAATCATAGACAGAAACTAAAATGGTGGTAGCCAGGGACTGGGGAAAGGAAAAAGGGGAGTTGTTTAATGTTTACGTGATTTTATTTATTTTTTAAAATACATTTTATTGATTTTTTACAGAGAGGAAGGGAGAGAGACAGAGTTAGAAACATCGATGAGAGAGAGTCATCGATCAGCTGCCTCTTGCACACCCCCTACTGGGGATATGCCCGCAACCAAGGTACATGCCCTTGACCGGAATCGAACCTGCGACCTTTCAGTCCGCAGACCAACACTCTATCCATTGAGCCAAACCGGTTTTGGCTGTTACGTGATTTTAGTTTTGCAAGGTGAAAAAGTTCTGGAGATTGATCACACAACAGTGAATGTACTTAACACACTGAATTGTACACTGAAAAAATTATTAAAGATGGTAAATTTTGTTATTTATATACTAGAGACCCAGTGCACAAAATTCATGCAGGGGGGGGGGGGTGTCCCTCAGCCCACCCTGCACGCTCTCCAATCTGGGACCCCTTGAGGGATGTCCGACTACCCGTTTAGGCCCCATCCTTCTCATAATTGAGGACTGCTGGCTCCCAACTGCTCACCTGCCTGCCTTCATGATTGCCCCTAATTGCTGCTGCCTGCCAGCCTGATCACCCCCTAACCACTCCTATGCCAGCTTGATTGATGTCTAACTGCTCCCCTGCCAGCTTGTTTGCCCCTAACTGCCCTCCTCTGCAGGCTTGGTCACCCCTAACTGCCCTCCCCTGCAGGCCTGGTCACCCCTAACTGCCCTCCCTTGCAGGCCTGGTCCCTCCCAACTTCCCTCCCCTGCTGGCCATCTTGTGGTGGCCATCCTGTGTCCACATGGAGACAGGATCTTTGACCACATGGGGACAGCTATCTTGATCTTGTGTTGGAGTGATGGTCAATCTGCATATTACTCTTTTATTAAATAGGATAGAGGCCTGGTGCATGGGTGGTGGCCAGCTGGTTTGCGCTGAAGGGTGTCCCGGATCAGGGTGGGGGTTCCCTTGGGGCATGGGCAGCCTGGGCAAGGGGCCTATGGTGGTTTGCAGGCCAGCCATGTCCCCTGGCTATCCAAGAGGAGGCCCTGGTATCTGGAATTTATTTACCTCTACAATTGAAACTTTGTAGCCTGAAGTGGAACCAAGCCTTCTGCTTGCTCCATGACTGCCGCCATTTCAGTTTGGATTTGTTTACCTTCTGTAACTGAAACTTTGTAGACCTGAGTGGAGGCCTACGCCAGCTAGGGCAGGCAGAAAGCTTGGCTTCCTCCATCACTGGGGAAACCCAAGCCTCCCCTTCCTGCTCTCTGTGGCCGCAGCCATCTTGGTTGGGGTTAATTTGCATACTTGCTCTGATTGGCTGATGGGCATGGCTGGTGGGTGTAGCAAAGGTATGGCCAATTTGCATATTACTCTTTTATTAGATAAGATTACCACAAAATTTTTTTTAAATAGCACCATAGGTCTGAACTATGTCTGGGACTGACACTCTGGGGGTAACATCTTCCCAACATGATGACTGGGGGATGAGCAAGATGTCTAGGATGGCTCCCACTTAAAAAAAAAAAAAAATATATATATATATATATATATATATATATATATATATATATATATATACATATATATATATATTATTGATTTTTCTCAGAGAAGAAGAGAGAGGGACAGAGAGTTAGAAACATCGATGAGAGAGAAACATCAATCAGCTGCCTCCTGCACACCCCCCTCTGGGGATGTGCCCCCGACGGAATCGAACCTGGAACCCTCCAGTCCACAGGCTGACACTCTATCCACTGAGCCAAACTGGTTTCTGCTGATGGCTTCCACTTTTAACATGTCCCATATGAGGCACCAGAGACAGAGGACATGGTGGTTCAAGATGGTGTGGTAGCCGAAACCGGTTTGGCTCAATGGATAGAGCATCGGCTTGGGGACTGAAAGGTCCCGGGTTCGATTCCGGTCAAGGGCATGTACCTTGGTTGCGGGCACATCCCCAGTAGGGGGTGTGCAAGAGGCAGGTGATTGATGACTGTCTCATCGATGTTTCTAGCTCTATCTCTCTCCCTTCCTCTCTGTACAAAATCAATAAAATATATTTTATAAAAGATGGTGTGGTAGCAATGCCTATGGAACATAAAAGGGGAGGAGGCAGAATTGATTGGTTAGGGAGGACCTCAGACTGCCATGTAAATCTGATAAAATCATGGTCAACTGTAGGGATCCGTTATAGGATTAAGCCTCGGACTGACCCGCTGGCAAAGCCGCCAACAAGTCCCAGTTTAGAGGGAACAGATCTCTTAGCATAATTAAGCTTGACCTTATACACTCCCTAGATTAGGGGTGTCGAACTCAATCAGAGAAGGGGCCAAAATCTAAAATCCAGCCTAAATCGCTGGCCGAATGGTTTACTGAACAGTCATAAACTGTCATTGTGATGGAAACGCAGCGGAGTGCAGTGATGACAGCGCGGTGCGGGCCACATTGCAAGGCCTGGCGGGACGGATTTGGCCCGCGGGCCTTGTGTTTGACACATGTGCCCTAGATCCTACCTGGTTAGCTAATGGGCTGTGGGAGATGCAGCAAGTGCTGCCAAAACAAGGTGAAACAAGAACATTGTAACTATGGTGACCACTATCTTGTTTACCTCAGACTATAAAATAAAGGCTCAGCTTGCAGTCTGGATCTATTCTGTGGCCTCAGCCAGGCACAGGAAGATCCACCTAAACCCAGCTTATTCTTTTGGTCTGTCTTTTCCTCATCCTTCGCTGGCCCTCAGGCTCACCGAATCCTTGGCTGTGCTGGCGTGGCACAGTCAACCCTGTGGGGAGCTCCAGAGCAAAGACTGTCCATTAGAGGAAGCCCATGTTGGGCAGAAATGGCCAGGTCCGTGCTGGGTCACTGGCTGGAAGCTGCACAGCATGAAGATGGCCTCTGCTCAAAACCGAGGCAGGTCCCGGAGGTACTACCATAAGAGATTGTCAGCCCAGCTGTCCTCTCGATGGCTGGCAAGTTCTGTTCCTTTTTTTTTTTTTTTTTTTGTAGCCATTCAATAGAGGATAACAAGTTAATTCCATTTACTATAAACATTATATATATATATATATATATATATATATATATATATATATATATATAAATTGATTTTTCACAGAGAGGGAAGAGAGAGGGATAGAGAGTTAGAAACATCGATGAGAGAGAATCATCGATCAGCTGCCCCTTGCACAGCCCCTACTGGTGTGCCTGCAACCAAGGTACATGCCCTAGACCGGAATCGAACCCGGGACCCTTCAGTCCGCAGGCCGATGCTCTATCCACTGAGCCAAACCGGTCCGGCAGTTCTGTTCTTTTTTGAAGGGAAATTCTGGCAGTGCCTCTGGCTGCCACAAAAGAGGGCAGAGCCCAAAGACATCCCCACCTGGACTATAGAGGGCTTCTCCCCTCTGGACTTCCAGCATGTGCTGCTCACCCCTGGACAGCCCCAGGACCCCAGCATTAGGGATAGCATATTTCAAACTCCTGGTCTTTTCACACCATCTTCTCCTTTAATTCTCCACAAGGCTGAGGACAGAAGATACCCTACAATGACCCAGAAACTGGACTCACAGGCTGATCCCCAGCCTCTGGCTAGTTCCTTAGCTTTGTTGAACCTTGGTTACCTCATCTGTAAAATGGAGAACAACGACAACAACCAAATGGTTATGCAGATTCTCTTTCCTTTTATGGATGAGGAAAGAGAGAGGGTCTTCCCCAGGAGGCACCCTGAGGCAGGGGTTTGCTCTCCCTCTAGACTCTAGCTGCCTTCCAAAGTGGCTTCAGGGGAGGATGACTCACTGGGCAGGGGCTGCTCCCCAGAGGCCCTTTGGGAGGGCACAGCTCCAGTGGCTCCAAGACCCTGTCTTTCTTTTGTAGAAAACACATCGTTTCGTTTACTATTCGGACACTGGCTGGGCTGTGGGGGCTGAGGAGTCTGACTTTGAAGGCTGGGCCTTCCCCTTCCCTGGCGTGACACTGATAGAGGACTTCGTGACCCGAGAAGAAGAAGCTGAGATGGTGCAGCTGATGGACCGTGAGCCCTGGAAACTCTCACAGTCCGGACGGAGGAAGCAGGTAGGTTGGCCCCAGAGCTAGGAAGGAGGGTCGGCCTGTCAGAGAGGATAGCCACTTTGCTGGGCCCTTTGACTCTCCTCCTGCTCAGGGCCCTCCTCATAAGCCATATCAGGTATATACCCAGCTTACTTGGCCAGCCTGCCTTCCCAGGAGAATGCCGTGAGCCAGGACTATAAGGAAGATGGACCCCAGCTCTTTCTGCTCTCCGCCAGCTGGCCTCGTGCTGGTCACTGCTGTCAGGGAGGGTTCCTTGAAAGGTGCCAGTGCTTTCCTGTCTCTAAGTTCTCTTCCCGCCAGTTTCATGTATTTTTGGGCCTCCAGGTCCCAGACCTCCTCTTTGGGACCTCAGCCCCCTCTTCTTCAGGCCCACTCCTCTCTGTCTGGGTCACTCCTGTTCCTCATCTCCAGTAATCCTTGCCCCCACCAGAACCTGTGAACCATCCATCCGGCCACCTGTTGGTTTTGTTTTTTAAAATATATTTTTATTGATTTCAGGGAGGAAGGGAGAGGGAGAGAAACATCAATGATGAGAGAATCATCGATTGCTGCCTTCTGCTCACCTACTGGGGATCAAGCCCCCAATCTGGGCATGTGCCCTGACCAGGAATTGAACTATGATCTCCTTTTCACAGGTTGATTTCAACCACTGAACCACATCAGGCAGGCATCCAACAACCTTTTCACTTTTCTCCTCCCATCATCTCTCCTTACTCTGTACTACAGCCAGTTATACCCTGTTTCCCGGAAAATAAGACAGTGTCTTATATTAATTTTTTCTCCCAAAGTTGCGCTAGGTCTTATTTTCAGGAGATGTCTTATCTTTCCATGCGCTAGGTCTTATTTTCGGAGGATGTCTTATTTTCTGGGAAACACGGTAGTTACTTCCTTGGGTGTCCCTCAACTTTTTGTATTTGCTTCATCATACTCTTTCTGCTCATCTACAGCCCTAGTCAAGTCCAGCTTCCTTCTCCCTCATACCCATGTGCAGCCTGCTGTCAGGTCTCCCCGGCTCTGGCCTTCCTGCTCCTGCAGTCATACGTACCTCCCGCAGGTCTTCACTTTGCTGCTGTCCTTCCAAACCTCTTTCCCTCCCATTGATGGCCTTGCCTCTCCGAGGAAACAGACATGTCTGCACACCCGCCTGCCAGCGCGGTGCGGTTCTCTTCTCACCGGTGCCCAGGGCTTCCCCAAGGCCCCTCCAGCTGTGTGGGGGTCCTTCCTCCTCGAAGTCCTTGTTCAGCATTGCTCCCCTCTCTCCCCAAGACGAAGTTTGCCTCAACTGGCTCCCCCCAGCTCCCAGTAAGCTCCACTTCTCTGCAACAGATTTGTTGTTCTCACTGTTTTGTGTTTTTTTTTAAATTAAATTATTATCTGTGTACATATTTTACCATTGCCCCCCCTCCCATACATACCCACCCTCCCCAGATTTTGTATCCATTGGTACTCACTGTTTTTGATTCCTCTCCTCCCATTCCTGCTTAACCCACTCAAAAACTGCTTCCATCCGTCACCTCCATGCTCTGAACCCAGCAACTGGTTCTCAGGGCTCAGTTCTTGGGCCTCTTTTCTTCCTGTTCCCGACATCCCCTTGCTGATCTTAATGAGTCATGGCCCTACACACCGCCGCTATGTTTTGGACTCCACGTTCATATCTCCAGCCCAAGTTTCTGTTTGTCAGACCCTAACCTGAGCTTTGGCTGTTTGCCCACACATGGCTCCCTGCAGTGTCCCCATCATGGCTCATTCCATCTTCCCCCTGTGCAGGCTGGAATCGTGGGTCTCTCCAGGTTTCTCTTTCTCATTAATTCCTGTCAGTTCATTCTTTCTTCAAAACCTATCTGAATCTGAGAACACCCTCCCCACCACTGCCAACACAGACATCCCAGCCCCCTTCCCTTCCCAGGATTTCTTCAGAGGGTTCCTGGGGCAGCCCTGACCCCTCTTCAGTCAGTTTTCAATAGAGAGGAAAGTAACTCCAGTAATGCCTCATCAGATCCTGCCACCACCTTGATACAAACCTCTGGGCCCCCCATCTTACACAGAAGTCCTCACAATGCTCTGGAAGTTAGTCAGCCTCTTTGTTTTCACTGCTGCTCTGGGGTGTCAGGCATAGCAGTCGCTCCAGCTTCCTCAGAGGCTCCATCCCCTCGAGCCCTGCCGCTGCACTCCCATGCCAGGCTCTGCCTGCTGCTCCTGGCGATGCCCTACCGGAGCTGCTCGCCGGGGACTCTGAGACATGCCAACCTGGAAGTAGCAGTTCCACCAGATGGAGCCACCCTCCACTGGAGGGGGACCGAGGAGGGCAGGAGTGGACAAATAAACATTCCCCTCTTTCATACTCAAGCAAAAGTCTGAGGCGTATTCTAGACCGTTCCTTTCCTTTTTTATTTATTTATTTATTTATTTATTTATTTTTTAAATATATTTTATTGATTTTGTACAGAGAGGAAGGGAGAGAGATAGAGAGATAGAGAGTTAGAAACATCGATGAGAGAGAGTCATCGATCAGCTGCCTCCTGCACACCCCCCACTGGGGATATGCCCACAACCAAGGCACATGCCCTTGACCGGAATCGAACCCGGGTCCCTTCAGTCCCCAAGCAGATGCTCTATCCATTGAGCTAAACCGGTCTCGGCTGGATTTTAGATTTTGGCCCCTTCTCTGATTGAGTTCGACACCCCTATTCTAGACCGTTCCTTTCTTTTTTTAGATAGAAGCCACATACCATAAAATTCACCCATTTAAAATGTACAGTTCTGCTTTAGCCAGGTTGGATCAGTGGATAGAGTGTCGGCCTGTGGACTGAAGGTTACTGAGTTCAGTTCTGGTCAAGGGCATATGGCCGGGCTGTGGGTTCAATCCTGTTGGGTTGTGCAGGAGCAGCTGATCAATGATTCTCATCATTGATGTTTCTGTTTCTCTCTCTCTCTCTTTCTGCCCTTCTCCTTTCCTCTCTGAAATCAATAAAAATACATAAAAACTGAAATGTACAATTCAGTGGATCTGTTTTTAGTATAGTCACAATGGCAAGGTAGTGTAATCATTACCACTAACTAGCTCTGGAATATTTTTATCTCCCCAAAGGAAGCCCATACTCATTAGCAGTCCCTCCCATTCCCCTGTCCCCTGGCAACCACTAATCTACTTTCTCTGTCTCTGTGGGTTTGGCTATTCTGGATGTTTCATGTACTAGTAAATGGGATTATACAATATGTGACCTTTAGTGTCTGGTGTCTTCACTTAGCTTAATGTTTTTAGGGTTCATCATTTTGCAGCATATACCCATGCTTTACTGCTTCTTATGACTAAACTCTTCCATTGTATGGATATACTCCCATCAGTCTGTCCATTCATCTGCTGGTAAACACTTGGGTTGTTTCTACTTTTGGCCATTGTGAATAGTGCTGCTGTGCTAGGTTCTGTGTGGACCAGGTAGAACTGCCATGTCACATGATCATTGTTCTTCCTGTGGTTCTGAACACCGGAGTTCCCACCTTAATAATGGTGTCTTGATTAGCCATCCCTCCCCTGCTGCTCATTCCTCCCAAGTCTCAACTTCTCGGTATCACATCCTGGATGCACTACCTGCACAGGGGCCTTTTGTCTCTGGCTCTGCTTTCTCGGGTATCTGGGCTAAGACATCCCTAACACTTCGTATCCTTGCATTATTAGTTCCCTTAGCATTTACAGCCATCTGATGTTTCCAGTTCATGTATACCTTTGTGGTGTTGGCCTCTTCCTACTGGGATGTCAGACCCACGAAGTCAGAAAATTTTCTTTTCTTGGTCACTGTGATTGAATTCTTTAGACCTAGTGTGTGATCACATTTCTGTAAACTCAGACATTTCTCTACTTCCTTTTTGTCCTCATATTTTAGGACTATGGTCCCAAAGTCAACTTTCGGAAACAAAAGCTCAAGACCGCTGGCTTCCAAGGCCTCCCCAGCTTCAGCCGGGAGATAGTGCAGAGAATGGGCCTCTACCCCGTCCTGGAGGACTTCTGGCCCGTGGAGCAGTGCAACCTGGACTACTGCCCAGAGCGGGGCTCAGCCATCGACCCCCATGTGGATGACACCTGGCTGTGGGGGGAGCGGCTGGTGAGCCTCAGCCTCCTGTCCCCCACCGTGCTGTCCATGTCCCGGGAGGCGCCCGGCAGCCTGCTGCTCTGCCTGGCCCCCTCCGGCTTCCCAGAAGCTTTGGAAGGTGTGATGGCCCCTAGTAGGTCCGTCCTGTGCCAGGAGGTGGAGGTGGCCATCCCCTTGCCCCGCCGCTCTCTGCTTGTGCTCACCGGAGCCGCACGGCACCAGTGGAAGCATGCCATCCACCGCAGACACGTCGAGGCCCGCCGCGTGTGTGCCACCTTCAGGGAGCTGTCGGCCGAATTCCGTCCTGGTGGGAGGCAGCAAGAACTTGGGCAGGAGCTCCTGCACATCTCTCTCTCCTTTCGGGGGAGACCCATGTGAGCCGCCTTCCTGGGGACAGGAGCTGGCATGGCCTGGCCCAGGTTCCAGCTCCAGACTTGACCCTTTGCCAGGACTGAGGGGAGCCCAGCACAAGGGTCTTCCTTCCCAGCTCGTTAGGTTTTCAGAGAAGACTGCGGACACCCTGACGCATGGCAGCGCAAGCCCTGCCGGGACCTGGTTTTGATGGGGATGTGTCTCAGGTCAGTCCCCTTTGAGCTGCACTGTGGCCACTTGTATGGGTTCAGTTGTCACAGTTTGAGGGAAGAGGCATCATTTGAGTTTTAAAAACTTTGGAATCACTTAAAACCATTTTCTCCTTTATCCATTTGTCTCAGCGAGGTTTCCTGGTGCCCCTCCCTGCAGTCCCTCCGTTTGGGTGGCATGCCAGATCACAGAGTGGAATTGGTAGAAGATCTGAGGCTATTAACCGAATGTCAACTGACATTCAGATTTCAGAGCTGGTGATAGTTTGCTTGACCCAGACTTGGGGTGCAGGATGCAGCAAGGACAGGGAAATCTGAGAGATTTAGCCCACATATAGGAAAGCAGGAACAGCTACCTAAATACAGGGGTGGGCTGGTGTCCAACTGGACAGCAATAATGCAGAGCCCTCCCTCGGCCTGGTGGCACTTGCAAGGAAGCTCCCAGGTTTTTCTCAGCCCAACCCACCTCCGCCCCATGTAATGATGTTAAAAAGTAGGGGGAAGTTTTCTTCAATCCCAGGATAGAACAGGTGGCTCTCTGGCTGGTGCTTGTGCTGTGTGCTCACGTGGATGGGTGGCTGCCCCCGTGGCTGGGCATGCCAGCTGTGGAGGTGGAGGGAGATGGCAGTGTTCCCTGAGTCTGCATGGCCAGCCCTCTCCCCTGTTGCTTATGTGACAAAATAGACACAGCTCACCCGCCACGTGCTGGGAGCCCGCCTTGAAGGACCAGTGCCCCCTCACAGCCTGGAAAGTTTCATGGTGGGCCCTGGTCTTCATGGTCACTCAGGAGCTTTTGAGAGCAGGAAGGATGGGGGAGGCACTGGCCACTGCACTGCCAATGAAGTGGTGTCATAGCTGCTGGCTTGGACTGGAGAATGCTGTGAAGACCCAGTGGACAGGCTGTGTGGGCTCCTAGTGGCTACTGAGTGGGGTCGGTGAGCTTAGGTGCTTACCTGCTGCTTCCTGAGTCAGCTCACTCAGTAGGCGGGTGAAGGACAGCTTCTTCCCAGGTCTGTAATCTCCATGCCAGCCCTTGCAGACCTAACACAGAGCACTTACTAGTAGATACAAGTCCAGCTGGAACCGATCTTGCTGCATCTGAGCAGGCCTGCAAGCATGGTGGGCTGCTCCATGGCGCCCAGTGGGGAGCCTCTGCCCTGAGAGGCTGGGCCTTAGAGCATCCCACCCCTGGATGGAGTCCGCAAGGTGCTCTGCCAATATGGGTGGGAATGGATGTTTGGGAAATGTTGCACTCCAACGCCTGTCAGGCAGAGATCTGTTTAGGCTGGGGAGTCACTCAGTGGAGAAGCCTGTTTCTCCTGCAACCTCCTAATGCTTGTCAGGTGTTTAACATTTGGCCCTCACTCCAATCCCGCAGAGCATGTTAGGGAATGCTTCATCACGTAGTAAAGTCGGTGATTCGAGTTAAGTCTGTCCTTGAAGCTGCCATGTGAAGACCTTCAGGCCCCAGGTGCTCACTGTCTCACCTAAGCCGCCCACTGCCCATGGGGTTGGGCTGGGGTCTGGCCAGGCTGGGGTGCTTCCTCCAGAACCGCTCCTGGGCACCACTGTACCTGCTGCCCTGTGTTTCTGAAGGACTGAGCCCAGCAGCCACAGCCTGGGGCACGTCTGCTTCACCCCCGTATTTTAGGGAGCTGTTCGTGCTTTCCTTCAGCACCAGATGCCTGTCTGTGCTAACGCTCTTGCAGTCTCAGACTAGAAGGTAAGAGTCTGTGGGAAAATTCTAGCATGGAAGCATCCAGTCCAAGGGGGGTTCCTACAGTGCCCTCTTCCAGAGTAAGTTGGGAGAGGCTACTGACATTCCTTAGCCTGCACTGTTGGGGAAACTTGGTGCTGGTTCCTGTTCGCAGGGTTGGGTAGTGGGGCCCAGGCTGGTCCTAAAGGGGCTGAGCTCAGTCTAGCGAGGACCCTCGGTTATTCTGCTGAGACTTGTGCAGAAACTGCCTGTACAAGTCTGCAGTTTTAAATGGGCCTCGAGTGCAATCTAGGCTCAGTCCTGTCTCACCTTACCCTGCTGGGCTCTGTCCAGAGCACTGTGGATGCTACCCCTCAACTTTTTGGAAGCATCTGAGTCAAGAATGAGTCTTCTCTCAGCAGATCAGCTGAACGGTAAGTGGGCCTGGCCACGGGCTTGCCAGGCTTGCTGGGGAAATGTCTGCAGTCAGTTTGCTGGCCCTGAGCTCTGTCCTGAGCCCAGGCCTTTGGTGCCTCAGGGACTAAGGGGTCCTCCCTCGGGGCTGCAGAGACAGTCTGGCCCCTGTACTGGCAGAACGTGTCATCTGCTTTGCACACCTAATTTCTAGGTCTGGCTTAAACTACCAGAAAATTAATAGCAGACAGAAAATCTTTCCTAGAAGAGCATCTACCTCATTGGGCAACTATTACAAAACAGAAAATCTGGGAGCTTCCTTGCGAGTGCCACCTGCCACCAGGCCAAGGGAGGGCTCTGCGTTACTGCTGCCCAGTGGACACCTGCCTCGGCCCAGAGCCACAGGCTCCTGGGGTGGGAGGAAGCCAGAGGGACCAGCACCGCAGTGGCTCTTCTGAAGGACTTCAGGCTGACCCTGTCCGCTGGACAGAATGATGCAGAGCCCTCCCTCGGCCTGGTGGCACTCGTAAGGAAGTTCCCAGGTTTTCCTCATAGTCCAACCCACCCTGCCCCATGTAATGATGCTAAAAAGTAGGGGGAAGTTCTCTTCAACCCCCAGGATAGCACAGGTGGCTCACTGGCTGGCGCTGGTGCTGGCTCAATGGCTCTGCTGGCACTCGGCTGTACTTGGGGCTGCCCTTGCAGTGTTTCTGGAAAGGAAGGGAGGAGAAACACCCAAGCCCCCTGTCTGTCTGTTCCAGAGAAGTCTCTGACCTGGGAAGCCTATTAGGACACTGGCCGGTGATCGCCAAAGGAGGCGGGAGGGGCTTAAGGACCCAGGATGCAGCAGACGCCAGGGAAGGACCAGCAGCTATCATGGCATTCCACACAGAACAGTGAGCAGTGTATAGCTTGTTTATTCAGTTCAATCCAGGGAAACTTTAAAAAATCCATATCCAGGACTTGGTTTGTACACCGTACATGACCCACACAGTGTCATGCATAATGAACTAATGAGCACACGACAGAGGACGACTACAGATGAACCCGGCCGCGGCTTCTGGCTTTATCCTCCACAGACCTTCCTAGAAGACACTAAAATGTGTTCTGCCCCCCGTTTCTAAAATAGAAACACTTCCACGTTGATGCTTCTGGTCAGGTACTAAATGGAGACTGTGTTCCACTTTGGAACTGGCCTCAAGTATTTGCAGGCCTTTGTTTTATGAGCACCAGGAAGGCTCTGCTCAGAGGGAAATGGGGCAAGCCCACGCTGGCCCCGGGCGGCCCATGGCGCCTCACCACGGAGAGGCCTGTGCTGGAACAGTCCTCAATCTCCTTAAACCTCCGGAATCCCAATTTCTAGCCTGTAATTTGCCAGCCCCTCCCCTACACTGCCCTGCAGAGCAGTTCCTGCGGCTCCAATGAGCAGCTTATCCTCCATCTCCAGACAAGCTCCGCAGCTCCCCTGAGGGTGTCCTTCCCCACCCCGCCCATCACCAGTCCCCAGACTCACTGTGATCTCCGTTCCCACAGAGACTCTGCCTCAGTCTCTAGAAAGGCTGGAGCTGGGAAAGCACTCTGGATGCGAACAGGAAGTCATAGGAACGTCACCCTCCCACTGTTGTAACGTGGTACGTGGCACCTTTCCTATACATGTGGCACTGTCATTGCGCACCTCATGTCTGACTTTGTGGTCAGGCCAAAAGCTCTGCCCATAGGTCAGGCATAATGGGCCCCCCCTGGCACTGGGGGTGTGCTTTCTAGTCCGGGGAACATGGGACTCGGTGCACCTGGCACACTTGGGGCAGTGGACCAAACAGCCCAGGAAAGTGGCAGCAGGAGTGAGCTCAGCACCACCCCGCGAAAGGCTCAGGCCAGAGTAAGCTGCTGCCTGCTCCCAGCTGTGAGGAAGAGCCCGCTAGTTTTGTCACTGCCAGGTCACTAAGTGGCTGTCTTGCAGTGATGCTGACATTCTTTTGCAAAGCAAACACATTAAACCAATTAAGCCTTTTCAACAAGGCTATGGGAAAGAGGAAACATGCACTAGAGAGCAAGCAAGTCATGACGGATGTCTGCAGACGGTACGAGGGACAGGCCCTTTAGAAGACGCCAGGGCGCTTCTCTGGCCTGGAGGGACGCCATGTCCAGGCTCCCTGTAAGTGTCACCAGTCAGCATTTCAGAGTTACAGGTTGAGGTTTATGTTCTCACCAGGCCACCCAGATCCCACAGAGATATTAGGCTGTTGGTAGAAATGCCATCAGAGCATGAAGTCCAATGAGGAAATGGCCTGCTTCTCCAGGTGGCTGCCAGCCAATGTGGTAAAGGTGGTTTTCAGAAGCAGCGTGGGGTAGAGCATGCTCACACGTAAGCTGAGCTGCAGCCTGTACGTGAACAGCCAAAGAACACGCGCTAGGGCAACCAGATCCCATGCTGCGCACGGCAGTAAACGCGCCGGCCGTGGCTCAGAGGCCGGGGGCCCAGAGGAAGCATATGTGGGGTTGTGCATTCTCTGCATTTGTTCCATCTCTTGAGCAAGACCCATGTTTGGCCTGCAGGGCAGTGTAGGACCCACGCTGGCCCTTGGTGCTACCACCCCTCGAGCAGACCAGGCCAACAGCCTTGTCTAGACAGGAAGTCCCCCAAGCACCCCTCTGCTGCCAGGCACCATGGGCAGCAGGGAGATGGGCAGGTTCTGCCACCTGAGCAAATGCCCCTGGCCTTCTGGGTCCAGAGCCTGGAGGGTCAGGCTCAGGGGGCATTCTGTGGCCAAGAGATGTAGGCCTCTGCTCTGCGGGCTCTTCCACCCTGGTAGCCTCGCTGGGTCAATGCGGCCAGGGCTCTAGGCTGGCTGGGAAGAAAGAATGTGAGCCCAGTGTGCTTTGGAGTCCCCCTTAGTTAACGGCCTCCTCGAGTAGGCTGCCCCAGACATGCTTCCCCAACTCTGCCAGGCCTCCACTCATGGAAGTCTCCCCCGGGCCCTGACAAGTCCGCCGCCTCCCGGAGTACCCATACCTGCTGGGCTGACATGTGCCCCAGGCTGCTGCCTTACCCTCAAGCCAGGCCACCCAACCCCCTGCAGAGCGGGGGAGGGAAGCACCAGGCCCAGCAGTAATCCTGTGCCCATCTAATTGCCACAATTCCCTACCTACCCTGACTCTCCCAGGCCTCCGCCAGGCTCCCGGCCCTGCTGGCCCTCCTCCCACATCTCTGGGATGACCGCAGCGCTGGAGCCCTGCCTGAGGCCCCAGGGCCAAGGCTCAGCCTTCCTTTGCCCTAAGCGCTTAGCAACAGAAACCAGTCTCTCCTTTAAGGACTTCCATTTTCTGAGGGGAAATGAGCCAGGTCTTACGGCATTAAGACAGGAGTAAAACTTTGGTGTTGAACTATCTGGCAGTGTCTAGGCAGCCCCGTGGCGATTTCCGTCTTTAAAATTCCCTCAGAAGCAGGCCATCGCTGCTGGCTCCCGGCCCCGGGAGGCGCGCTCACACCACCTGCAGGCCGCGCTCGTGCCCATCCAGCTGCACCTTGAGCTTGTGCAGCTCCTCGATCTCGCGGTTGTGCCGCTCGGTCTTGTGGCGCACCAGCGAGCGGTAGAAGTGGATGGTGAAGACCACGAAGATGAGACCCACGGGCACCATGATGATGGTGGACACGAGGGCGGCCTGCCAGCCGGTGTGGCCTCCGGGGCCGGGTGCGGGGCCCGGCTGGTGGCGTGCATCCACGGGCAGGAACTTGATCCAGCAGAGCAGCACGACCTCGGCCAGGAAGAGCAGGATGCCGAGCACGGTGGAGAAGCCCCAGGCCAGCTCGATGTAGGGGTGCATGCGCTCGTGCGGCGACTCGCTGATGGAGTTGAGGTTGTGGATGTTGCTCACGGCCTCCACGTTGGGCAGGATGCAGGTGCTGATGAGCAGGGCGAAGAGGTGCACGGCCACCAGCACCGTGGTGCAGGCGCTGAAGGCGATGAGCAGGGGTGGCGGGTACTGGTACTGCGTCTCCAGCTGCACCTCCACCATGGCCACCTGCAAGGCAGAGCGGATGCTGCTGGGCTGGGCAGGCACCTGCCAGGCCCTTGCAGAGCACAGGACACCCTCTTCGCTGCTCAGCTATTTTGAATTTGCCTTTTTTTCTGATTAGCTAAAGAGGATCTCACTGAGAGAAAACCTGAAAGTACAGAAGAGACTAAAGAAGCACCATGTGGTGCAAGTCACCCCCCAGGTGCCTTCCCAGACATGGAATGTCCGGTGTATTTGAGGTGCCAAGCTGTGAGCCAGGGCAGAGGCCACCCTTCCCCGGGACCATGGGCTTTGCTATGCTATCAGAGCCAGGCTGCAGTGTGGCTTAGCTGCAAAAAAAACAAAACCCTGTTTTTTTGTGTGTTTTTTTTTGTTTTTTTTTTTTAAATATATTTTATTGATTTTGTACAGAGAGGAAGGAGAGAGACAGAGAGTTAGAAACATCGATGAGAGAGAGTCATCGATCAGCTGCCTCTTGCACATCCCCCACTGGGGATATGCCCGCAACCAAGGCACATGCCCTTGACCGGAATCGAACCCGGGACCCTTCAGTCCCCAAGCCGACGCTCCATCCATTGAGCCAGACCAGTCTCGGCAAAACCCTGTTGTTTTAAAAAATAAAAATGGACCTTTTAAAGGGTTAAAAAAAACCACACACACACAGGTTCCTGATGGTGCCCAGACTCAGAGCTGCAAACCCAGCCGGCCTCACACAGACCACAGGGTGCATCTCTCAGCTGGCACCAAAAGCCAGAGAGAAACTGCATGTATGTCTAACGGCCAGGACATGAGGGCCATGCGAGGAGGGGCAGCTGTGGGGAGGAGGGTGGGCTGGGAGAGTGAGCTGAATCATCTAGTCACAGGATGCCAATGGGTAACGTCCAAACGGATAAAGAACAGCAGTCTCCAAATGCCATTTGGAACCGTGCGGACAGAAAGCTGCAGGAGGCGGCCTCGGAGCGGAGAATACGGCGGGTCTGCTGGGATTGTGACAGTACAGCTGCCCTTGAGCAGCATGGGAGTGCTGGGCGCACCCACCATGTGTAAGTGGACTTGTGCGTTCAAACCCATGTTCAAGGGTCAACTGTATTTAATTTCTAAACTCTATACATGTAATAAATGATAAAAATTATTTTTTAAATGAAAGGGGGAAAAACAGACACAGAGGGAACCAGAAGAAGCCCAGCTTATCTCTGTAGCACAGAATGATTATAGCCACTTAGGTAGTATAGTGGTCGGCAAACTGTGGCTTGTGAGCCACATGTGGCTCTTTGGCCCCTTGAGTGTGGCTCTTCCACAAAATACCACGGCCTGAAAGAGTCTATTTTGAAGAAGTGGCATCAAAAGAAGTTTAAGTTTAAAAAATTTGGCTCTCAAAAAAGAAATTTCAATCTTTGTACTGTTGATGTTTGGCTCTGTTGACTAATGAGTTTGCCGACCACTGAGGTAGTACATGCTCACCCCAGGCCCTATGTGGCTTTCAAACTACAGACTGAGCAACACTCCTGCCTCTGCCTCTGCCTCTGCCAGGTCAGACCCCATCCTTTCAGAATAGCTCCCTCCGAGGCACAGCACCCTAACACCCCCCTCCCAGCACTCAGCACTGGGACCTCCCCAGGGGAGGATTTAGTCCAGGTCAGTAAAAGGGCTCTGGGACTCACCAAGGCCCTTCTCCCAGGTGCCTGACAGTAAGATATCAAACAAGAAAGGGGGTGGGGTGGGGCAATAAGAGAAGCCAGAGGGAGATTTTTCCACCCACTGTGTTTGCCTCCTAGATCTGAGTCATCCCTGTTTTTAAAAATTAACAAGAGCCCAGCTGGTATGGCTCAGCAGTTGAGCATCGACCTATGAACCAGAGGGTCACAATTCAATTCTCAGTCAGAACCCATACCTGACTGGGCTGGGTTATGGGCTCAATCCCCAGTAGGTGTACAAGCAGCAGCGGATCAATGATTCTCATCTTTGATGTTTCTATCTTTCCCTCTCCCACCCTGAAATAAATAAAATATATGTTAAATTAACAAGAAGGATGTCACAACTTCTAGAAACTACCACCTCTTAGAGTGAGCACTTCATCTTTGCAGTGGAGATGGAACATTTGGTAGTTAAAAAGACGATACAGCAGGCCCAGTGGACCGTACCTGAACAGGAACCCAGCAATAAATACTGCTCCAAAAAGATAGTAGCCCATGGCAGGAGTTGAAGGGTGTCTTTTCTCAGTGCCCCTGTGGCCTGGGTAGGCTCTGGCCCAACAAAAGGATGTAAACCACAGAGGGCACCGAGATAAGAAACAGAGGCCTACAAGGAAGCAGTTGCATTCTGCCTCAAGAGGAGAAAAAGCCAAAAGGCCATTTTTCATTTTGTTTATGCAAAGAGGTTTCAGATCACGGGTTCTCTGTGTTAGAATAAACATTAAGAAATAGCCAAGACCGGTTTGGCTTAATGGATAGATAGAGCGTCGGCTTGGGGACTAAAGGGACCCGGGTTCGATTCCGGTCAAGGGCATGTACCTTGGTTGCGGGCATATCCCCGGTGGGGGGTGTGCAGGAGGCAGCTGATCAATGACTCTCTCTCATCGATGTTTCTAACTCTCTATCTCTCTCCCTTCCTCTCTGTACAAAAATCAATAAAATATATTTAAAAAAAAACAAACATGAAGAAATAAGCTTAAGGTTGGGTGTAAGTACTTATTGTTTTGCAATTCTAATTAGGGAATACATAGTATAACGAGAGGACTCCACCTAGCACACTGCCTATTTTCATTTGTCCATGTCCCTGCCCTTATTTGGCCATGCCAGCATGCTATCTGAGGATCTGTATTGGTCACTTCTTTCTCCCAAGCTGCACCGCAGTCTGAATAGCTATCTGATTTACTGGTCTTTAATCTGCTCTTGACTTGGCTCCTTGCTGTGTCACTGCTATGGCGGAATCTCAGTGCATGTTCGGTGGGGCAGCCTCCCTGAGAAGGATTTTCTAAAAGAGAAGGCAAGGGCACTGTGTGGCTTCTAAAATGCATCCCCAAGCTGCTTAATGAAGCACTTGCTGGTGCACAGCAGATACTCCATAAACGCTGAAGAATGAATTACTACTGGGAAGCCTGACCGCCGCTGCCAAGCAGTGAGAGCACTCTGGGCCCACCATTCTCATCCTGAGAGCACTTCATACCTTTGAAGGCTGCCAGTGCATCTCAAACTCCTCCTCCAGAAGCCACTGTTTGATAACTTATTCAAGGGCTAGTTTCAAATTCTGAATGAGTGGTTTAACTTGGATGAGCATTTTGTTGGCTGGAAAACAGGATTTCCTAAGTTTGGAAATCCAAATGTTTGGAAAGCCAGGGTCTAAAAAGACAGCTGCAGACAGGACGTAATTTCCCAGACCCAAGCCCCACACAGAAAGGAAACTCACTCTCTGCATTATGTTGTGCAATACTTCCCGGAGTTCATTTAGCAAAGTTAAATAAGTATAGGTGAGCAAAATGTAATGCAATACTGTACTTCTTCTGTGGCACCACAAAAAAAATAAGTTCTAATTTTAATAGTGATGTTTAAACTTCTCACACACATTCTTTAAAATTAAGCTTGAGAAAATTCCATCTTTATATATATATATTTTAAATTGAATTCAGAGAAAGGAAGAGGGAGGGATAGAAACATCAATAATGAGCCCTACCTGGTTTGGCTCAGTGGTTAGAGTGTCGACCTGTGGACTGAAAGGTTTGATTCCAGTCAAGGGCACATGCCTGGGTTGCAGGCTCAGTCCCCAGTGGGGGACATACAGGAGTCAGTTGATCAGTGATTCTCCCTCATCATTGATGTTTCTATCTCTCTCCCCCTCTCCCTTCCTCTCTGAAATCAATAAAAAATATATATTTAAAAAAAAATGAGAGAAGCAATGATCGGTTGTCTCCTGCACTGCCCCTACTGGGGATCGTGCCCTGACCTGATAGTGCCGTAAACCTGGTCTTTTTAATGTGATGGAAACCACAGAAAGAAAATCACTCTGAGCCTAAGTTGTGCACCATGTAATTGCACACTTTTGTAATTATGGTTAAGAAAACATGCCGAAACCGGTTTGGCTCAATGGATAGAGCGTCGGCTTGGGGACTGAAGGGACCCGGGTTCGATTCTGGTCAAGGGCATGTACCTTGGTTGCGGGCATGTCCCCAGTGGGGGGTGTGCAAGAGGCAGCTGATCGATGACTCTCTCTCATCGATGTTTCTAGCTCTCTATCTCTCTCCCTTCCTCTCTGTACAAAAACAATAAAATATATTAAAAAAAAGAAAAAAAAGAAAAGAAAACAAAAACACAAGACCTAAAGAAGCTTTGCTTTAAAGTAGACCTAAACCCAAATTGACTGCCTCTCGGTTTGGTGACCTCTGCCTCACCCTGTATGAAGTCATGCCCTGACTGTGTAGGGTGTCATTTTTCCAAAGGTGGCCCTGCTGATGACCAACCCAAGCATGCCCTCGTCAGAGCAATGACCACAGTGGCTCACTCTGACAGCTTTTTATTTCCTGCACTACCAATTTGACAACTGAGTTTCTGGACTACAGAGAAAAAACAACTGTCTTTACATAAAAAATAAACCCCCTGCTTCCGGCCCACTAGGACCTCTGAACATACACCAGAGAGGCTGCCACAGCCCAGCAGTCTGACTCCTACACCTGCATCCTCAGGACAGTTCCTAAAGGGATTGGGTTGAGGCTTTGGAGTCAACAGTGCCCTCAGTTTTGCCTGAGATGGACTCTTGTCCTGGATTGTCTTGGGGATGACTCAGAAGGAAAGCCACAGGAGGGCAGCTGGGAGTGAGGCCAGAGGCTCTGATTAGTCACCCAGGAGGCCACATTTGGGGGCATCTGCACCGCAATTGGGCTACACTGCATAAACCCAAACCAGTCCACAGTTCCTGCTCGAGTCCTGGAGATTTCCAAACTCTTGGGTGGCCCCTGAGATGGGCAGATGTGGGTACTTTTCTCCAGGAAATCTGTATTCTAAAGCTATTTTAAT